CTGCAGCTTGTGGGTTTGCCACAGCGTTTCTCAGAAGGCAAATCTCAAAGGGTGGATGTTAAGCCAAGTAACTTAAGAATCATATAGGACTAACATGGTTTTGGTCTTCCTGTCTGTGGATTCGGTCTAAAGGTAGATATCATTAACTGTTAACATTCACACTAAAAATTTCCTCCTCACAAAGGATTATATCCTGATAATAGGATGAACTAATGAGTAAACACTGGCTTATCAGGTTTATTAGTGTGGAAAGGAATAAGATATGTCAGTTGTCTAGTTAAATATTGATATACTTAAAAAAATCTAGATGTTTGGCATTATTGAAGATAAAACATTTTCAAATTAGTTTTTCACGTTTTGTTGATTTGGGGTAACTATAGGTTCTATCTTACTTTAATAGAGATGTTAAGATTTTAACAAATTGCCCCTTCAAGAAGGGAAACATATTACATGTTGCTTTAGTGTACAGAGGGAGAGTTGGGACAAATAAGCTAAAGCGATTTATTACCCTATACAGGGATCAGAGGCTGTATTTGTGAAATCCATGGCTTTTTTTTCTTCATTTGCTTACACTGAAATCCAGTTTTAAACAACTCCTGTAGAATTATTCAGTTGTTAAGAAATTCTATGTGCACTTTGCCAGATAACTGTGTAGATTTCTCAATCAAAAATATTAAACTTGGAGAATTAAAAAAAAAATTGCCCTTAAATTAGGTCACACCAGAAACCAAAAGGTCTTATCAAGAGAGGTAACTTCACTCTGGTCCCCACAGACCTTTATAAAGTACTTTCTGTGCAATATTTTAAAATAGTGTCATTCTGTCAGCAAGATGATTGTTACAGGAAGTGTAGGGCACATTTTTCTCTCTTCAGTAAGTGACAGTGAGCCACAAAACAACAAAAGGAACCAAAACTGAGGAAAGAAGAACAACTTATAAAAACAATTTCAAAGTAACCAAAAACACTGTCCCAAAAGAAACATCTCTCCGGTGTAGTCAGACTTCCTGAAATTTATGTGCCACTTAGGCTGTAGATACATGGACTTCTTATACTCATAATTTTACAAATAATCAATAGTACTGTAATTGATACAGTGTTTTATTTGGCAAGGGTGATGGGGGGGGTCAGTTATTGATTACATTCTCCCAGGAGCACCTTTCCACATCAAGATCATTTTAACTAAAATAACAAGCTGTCCACAAATCTCAGAACTAGCATTTAGTTCTACTCTATACGGAATATCTGCATTGTCCTCACCAACATTATCTCTGCATTCTTTTAGTTCACAAAAGCACAAGTAGAAAATCCTCAGATATTTATCACTCTGGACTCATTAGGTGCCTCATTCCACCCACCCCCTTCCTCACTTGGTTCTTACCAGGTATGAAAGTAGAAGACCAAATTGTTTTCCTGGAGGAATGATGAATTGACAAATAACACAGAATGCAATATATAACTTTTTTTTAAAAGAGGAAATTGGGTGCATTTGAATGATGTACTCAACAAGGCTACTATTTTACCCTGGGCTCCGAACTCTTATTCTGGTTTTGAGGTGACATGAACGGAGGAATACAACCAGAAAATGGTATTTATGTATTTGGAGTACAAAGTTTAGTGAATGAAGCATACTGAATAAGGTTAGACCAAGTAGCATTAACAAGTGATGCAGACATTATAACCACAACAGTGGTCACAAAATTCTGGAGCTACCAGCACCCAACAACAATAAAATTACTATACAAGAGCTTATTAAATACTTGCTAGACACATGAAAAACAAAACCCTTTGTCAGGGACCACGGATCTGAGAGAGCCCAGTGGCTAAATCAGCCTGTTCTTTGAGCTCCGGCCAAATGCTCTCATCACTTTCCAGTTCTGGTCCCCTTCCTTCTCTCAACAGGCAAGGAGCCCGTGAGGACGCCATGGTTTCCACGTCTGATCCAGATCAGGACAGCTCGCCACGGTTCCTTCAAGAAGCTCAGGCCAGGGTTAGGTTCGTATGAGGGGTGCTCTTTCATCTGCAGTTCCCTGCGACGCAGAAAAAAGAGGACAGCAAAGTTAGGCCTTCAGGTCAGAAACATATTTCCATGTGAAAAGTAGGGGGCGGGGGAAGGGGAGACGGAAGGAGGAAAGACTGATTGGAAGGCTGTAGGTCATCGGTCGTCCCTCTCACCTCTCTCTTCTCTCAGCCTGATTTTTCTTTAACATTCAGGCCTAACCCTCTTGAGGAGGCCTGTCCTGACCACCCCACCCCAGATCCCAGAGCAGTCAGTCCCCTTCCCTGTTCTGACTCGGACTGTAACCCTCATCACACTCAACTGAATTTGCCTCCTTCCTGATTGGAAATCTTCCAGAGAAGAAAGTCTTGCTCAGTCATTGCTTGCTTGTTGAATACGTGGAGATGGTTAATTGTAGGAGCAGTGATAACATCTACATGGGCTTTCACCTGTGCTTATGGAAAGGTCGGGTTGGAAGTGAGGTCCACAGGTAGAAATGGCAAAATACGGGGATATGAAGTACAGCATGGGAATATAGGCAGCCATATTGTGATAAGTATGGTGCCGGTGGCTACTGGAAATGGGGGGGGGGGCACTTTTTAAAGTGTATGATTGTATAACCACTATCCTACACACCTGAAACCCATACAAAATAATATGGAATGCAAACTATAACTGAAAAATAAATTTTTAAAAAACTGGAAGAAAAAAAAAAAGGAACGGCCTCACACCTAATTCAGTGTAACGCGATGGGCATGGGTTAAGAAACATAATGGAAGAACGTGGAAGGTGGGGACATCTGTGTTAATATTATTCAGGTGGTTCCAACCTATCATTTCCTGCTTCACACGGGGCTTCGACAATTAGCTGAGGCGGCCGGGAGGAAAAATAAACAGCCTTTATGGCTAAAAGGGAAGCTGCTGAGAATCTGAGAAAGGCTCCTACAGAAAAGGCTCACTGAAGGCATTCAGACCTGGGGTTGGCCTGCTGGTCACTTGGGAGGCCCACCCAGCTGTGTGGACCCCATCCATTTGGGTGGCTCCCGTCCCTCCAGGAAAGGAACTACAACCCCTGTGCTCATCGGTTATGAGGCAATGACGACTCAGGTGCGTCTTTGATGATTTCACAGATTCTTCCCAAGCAGGTCCCGGTTGCCTTGCCCTGTGGCGTTTGGGCTGTTTTTCTTTTATCCTGTAGCTAATGTTTACTAAGCTCTTACTAAATACTAGCGCTGGGCCAAGTGCTTTATGTTTGAATCACCGAATCCTCACGGAAAACTTCTAAAGGAGGCTCGCGAGTTCTCTCATTTTATAGAAGAAACTGAGGCACAGTTTCTAGGGACACACAGCGACTAAGTGGCAGCACTAGGATTTGAACCTGGGCAGTCTGACAGCAAATGCCAGGTGCTTAGCTGTGATATAGTCTTCCTTTTCTTTCAGGCTACTTTCAAACACGTAAAGCTTACTCCCAGGGGCTCCATTCCCTCCACAGGAGCCCCAAACACTGGACAGTACCGTTCTATCACTCCTCCTCGCTTCTTATTTTGTCCAGCAGTAACATAAGCATGAAATCACCGTGTCCGGCATAAAAGCTCAGAATCCACCCTAATGAGCCAGCTGGCAGCCCTTCAGTGAAGCCCAGTTGAATTTTAACGTTATCCAGTGAGAAGTTCCTCCAGCCTCTGCTCACCTCATCCATGAATCCCTGTCCTCGGCAGGCAAGCCAGGTGAAGATCAAACCAAAGAACACACCCAGCGCCATGACAATGTAGGGTATGTTGCTGACGATCGAAGTAGTGTTAATCACAGACTTCAGGCGACCTGCATTCTCTTTATCAATGACAACACTCTAGGAACAAGAAAACAGTATTGCCTTGATTACCAAACATCCAAGGTATAACTTTTTTTTGCTATCTTTCTTCCAAATCATTAAATGCAATTTGGGTACGTTCTCCTGTTAGCAAACCAGAGATCTGAAAATCCATTTATAAATTAGTATAACCAGAGGGGACATTTATTCATTAACTCACTCCTTCCTTCCTTCCTTCCTTCCTTCCTTCCTTCCTTCCTTCCTTCCTTCCTTCCTTCCTTTCTTCTTTCTCCCTTTTTCTTTTTCTCTTTTCTTTCTTTAAAGAGCACATATTAGTTTTACAACATGTAAACCACTCAGTTATTTTTTACAAAGTTGTTATCAGAAAACATTTTACAACACATTGGCAAGGAAAATGAAACAAATTAAAGACAATATATCAGTCTAACTCAAGTTTTATGAAAAGTTATTTTACTTTTTTTCCCCTTTTCTTGCTTTAATCTGTGTTACGAAATTTACTGGAAAGAACAAGTATTTTTAAGGAAAAGAAAAAAATAAACACTTTTAAAAATGCTGCTATTTACAACAAAAGTCAGTCAATTGAGATTTATTAAGGGGAAAACCCACAACTGCCCCTCTTGAAACCAGGTTGAAGAGAGAGGGAAACTGAGGAGGCAGAACTATAGTCAATGTGATGTGTGATTCAGAAAAATATTATCATTGTGTCTTAAGTGGGTGTTTTCTGAGCTTTCATAATATGCTTTTATTAACAAAACTTCAACTTACACCTAACATTTAGGATAATATTTTATTTATTTATTTATAGAGAGAAAGGGAGAGAGAAAAATAGATTTGTTGTTCTACTCATTTATGCATTCATTGGTTGCTTCTCGTATGTGGCCTGACCCGGGAAGAAATCGAAACCTTGGCCTATTGGGATTCTGGTCTAACCCACTGAGATACCCAGCCAGGGCCTAGAGGTAATATTTCTGTGGGTATACTGCAAAAGAAGTATTTTCCACGGAAACTCCTTTCGTTTGAACTAAGACAGGATCTGTTTCTTATATATTTGTTACCAGAACGTAGAAGAAACTCTGTGCTATGATGAAGGCTGAGGCAACCATGTATCTCTGAAATTAATGGGCATATATCACATTTTATTAACCATTTCTTATTTTATTTTATTTTTTGGTTAATCTTCACTGGAGAATATTTTCCCATTGATTTTTTCAGAGAGAGTGGAAAGGAGGGAGGGGTGGGGACAGGGAAAGAGAGAGAGAGAGAGAGAGAGAGAGAGAGAGGAGAGAAGAGAAGAGAAGAGAAGAGAAGAGAAGAGAAGAGAAGAGAAGAGAAGAGAAGAGAAGAGAAGAGAAGGATTGGTGTGAGAGAGACACATCGATTGGTTGCCTACCGCACACTCCTAACCAGGGCCAGGGATCAAACCTGCAACCCAGGTGCCTGACAGGGGTGCTCCAGCCGACACGCTAACCACTGGAGACACCACCAGAGCAGTTTAACCATTTCTTTAACCACCTCACACACAATTTTTATTAATGTTGCCAATCATTTTAATTGTTCCCTCTTTCCTCCTCCTCAGCTAATGAACAGTAAACGGACGACATTTTACAAACTGGCAGGGTTTCAAAGGAGGAGACACACAGAAGGGTTCACTGGAACATCTCTCTGCGTGTTGACTTTATTGTTTCAACAGTGGCTGACACTGCTTCATGGACCTTTGCATTTTGTTTCTTGCACAGCCAGCTTCCCAGGAGGAAGTTTTACCCAAACAACGTGCTCAAGAAGGGAAATTTCTTTCTGTTAATTTTCAAATCTCAGACATCAAGTGCATTCGTGTGAACACAGAAATAAATTTTCAGAGGACAAACAGGTTTTTAAAAATCACCTCCACCCCTCACATCGAGCATGACACACAGCTACAACAGTAGACTTCGACATGGAACGTTTCCCAGCTTCCACAGGTAAAGCCAGCCCGTGGCCCCCTCCCAGTCTCCAGTAGGTGATGTGCAGGAGGCAGCTCATCGATGTTTCTAACTCTCTATCTCTCTCCCTTCCTCTCTGATGAGATCTTTTATAGACATCCTGATCGTGAGGGCACACTGGTCTGGAGAGACACGCTTATAGGAAGATGCCAGCACACTTATTTCATTAAATTACTCAGAATTTAAAGAGACTTGTTAGTTATCTTTGAGAACACATCTCGTTCAGAAGTTAGATTCCAATCTATCAGTGTAGCAATTCCAAGTGTTGCACATTCATGTACACTGTTTTTATCAAAACACAAGATGCTGAAAGCAAATGCCTCAAAATGATTACAATTCTCCCAAGAGTCAGAGGGGCGGCTACGGCTGGCAGAAGAACGCTGCCAGTCCTCAGAACATTTTGTGACTAGGCTGCCAGGTATCATCTTCACAAGAGCCCAGGAAAATCACTTAGTGTGCATTCACCAGCTCTGCACCAGTGTTTTCGGGGACATTATGTCATTTACTTCTCACAGTAGCCCATGTCCCAGGTTTAAGAGAGTACATTATGGCTCAGAGTAATTTGTCCAGGACCACCAGAGCAAATGGTAGAGCCAGGATGGTAATTCTACTTTGAATCTAAAGCACCAGACCTTAGCTACTAAACTATACTGCCTCAGAAATACACACGGGTGACAAATGCATTCATGCAACCCACATTTGCTTCCTAGAAATATCCGTGATTGTGGGCTTAAATCTAGTAAATTTGATGGGGGAACCAACCAAGTTTTATCGACAGAAAGAATAGGATAAATATATGATATCATAGTTTCGTATCCTCTTTCTTCCATTCAACATTAAATCAAAAGCATTTTCTCATATCAAAAAAATTCCCATTGAAAAGTTGGAGCAGGAAACTGTACTTAGGGATCCTAAGTAAGTAGTGGTTTTTAGCTGGGAGAAAGGCTGGACGCAGAGGCCGTTTTAACTATCAGAGTGGAGCTTGTGGCTGGCCCTGGGTGGGAGCGGTGGGGAAGGAAGGAAGGAGGCAACCAGAGTCAAAGCGAGGGGAATGCTGAGTGGAGTGGCAGGAGCTAATTCTGTAGCCTTACTAGCTGTGTGACTCTAGCAAGTTACTTAACTTCTCTGTGCCTTGTTTTCCTCATCTGTGAAATGGGGATAATACAAGGTTATTGTGAGAAATAAATGAGTTCATATATGTGAAGTACTTAGAACAATGCTTGATTCATGGAAAGCACTGTATATACATTAGGTTAAATAAAATAAGTAAATTAAAAAACCAAGACTGGCCATCCCTCATCCCTAAGGGGTAAGGGTGAGTGGACTTAGAAGGGGGCTGTCTCCCTCCCAGCATCAACCCCACCAGAAAGTCACTGCAGGAAAACGACCCTTTGCTTCTGTATAAAAAAGCAAAATTTACCTAAAGCCATCTATTTTTTTGACATAAACGTTGATTTGGAACCTCTTGGCTGCTCTTAGGATAAATCCAGTCAACTGCAAACCACAGAAGTAGAAAGAAAACATGATTAAAACCACAAACACAATTGTTTTCAATAGCGCACCATTTCTGTGTGGCTCTGATAAACGGGGTGTCCACTGCCGTGTTTGACAGGCACAGTGGGACACAGGGAACCCTGGCCCCAGAACAAAATGATAGATGTGGATTATTTTTAGGTGCCTGGTTAGCCCAGTGTTTCTCAGTACGCGCCTGAGTTCTTGTTAAAATGAAGGTTCTGACTCGGTAGGTCTGGGGTGGGGCCTAAGATTGGGCCTTTCTAACAAGCTCCCAGGATGCTGCCTCTTTGAACAGCAAAGCCCTAGAGGACCCTGGCAGAAGGGAGACCTGACAGACACCCTGTCTGAAGGATGGTTGTCGCTGCCAGAGAACAGTGCCCAGGTGTGGCCGGGCCCACCCAGGCAGAGCAGCCGCTGCTGTCATCTAAGGTTATGGGACTGTGCCTCGGCCTTCATAACAAGCACCTGCTAACAGTTTGGCTGATGAAAAGGAACCTACGGGTGGCTAAGAGAGAAAAGGGAGAAAACCACACCTGATCTTACTCACAAAAATAAGAACACTGACTTCTCAGATACAAATGAACTGAGTGTAGCAAAGAGTGAAGTCCCCCCGAATTGCTGTGCTAAGAGAATGTTTTGCTTTTCTCTTATTGTGCCATGTGTTCAAAAGCCCAAGAATGGAGACATCTGGCCTTTAATTCAGTCCCTACAGTGAGAGGCTGTTGTTACTGTATACCAAGGGTGGGGAACCTTCTTTCTGCTAAGGGCCACTTGGATATTTATAACATCACATAAAATTATCAACTTAAAAATTAGCCTGCTATATTTGGTCAAACCTTTAATTAACTCACCCCTAATGCCTTGGCAGGGCCAGACCAAGTGATTTTGTGGGTCTTATACGGCCCATGGGATGGACATCCCCCATTCCTGCTGTAGACAGTCAGGGAGCTCCAGGGAGTCTCCCCGAGACGACACAGGGGGAGGTTCCTACACTGAGAGTGCCACAAGCTAGAAAGATGCATGAACAGGGCCCATCTCGCCAAAAGCTAGAAAGACAATTGGGTAGAAAAAAAGCCCTCCCCTCCCCTTCCCTAGAAGAACCACAGGCTTGAGCTGGAAGGAGAGATGGTCTTTGAGACAGGAGCCCACCATTCTCCCAGGTCATGGCACTTGAATAAATCTCTTTCCTTTCGCATCAGCACCTGTCTCACAAGTTTGGCTTTCATCACAGCAGGCAGCCCAAACTGCGTTTTTGGTGACACTGTCACACTGTGAAATGATACTCATATCCTTTTATGCTTTTCTTTTTTCTCTTCTATGAATATAGGATTAAAGTGTATGCATACTTGATGCCTTTTAAATGAATAGTATATAATAAACTCTCAAAGGAAGAGGTTTGCCAACAGTGACTGAAGCTAATATATACACAAGGTGTCCCCCAAAAAGGTACACACATTCTAACAGCTGATAGCTCAATCAATGCTGCTTTTTCAGATTTAACCCACTGGAATTAATCATTACCTGTATACATTTTGGGGGGACACCCCATATTTAAATTTTAACCAAAACATTTTTGGCAGTAAACAGGAATGTCTTCAATCTTGCTGATCTGTGCCCCCATGGGAGAAACGTATGTATGTTGAGGTCCAAGGCTGGTGACAGAAGATTGACCAGGTTACCTGGGTCCAATCTCCCTCGTTTTCAGTGATGGAATGTTCCCTGTTGCTGTTTTGTTAAAGCAGGTTTGCTGGTGTTTCTGTACATTAGGTCCACAGAGTTCAGCCTTCCAAATGGAAGAATAGGAGGCTATACATTACACTGCACTGAGCTGAGCTTTCTACATTTGCTTGTATATGAAAGGGAGACAGCAGACTTAAGAGAGCTAAGGACAAAACCATGACCACTGAATAGACAAAATGAAACATATGGTCTTTTACCAGAAAGAGGTGTTTACTCACAGGATTAATGTCCACAAACGTCTCATGATGGTCCTTATTTGGATGCATGCCATCTATGGCAGACACAAAACTCTGATCTGCTTGGTAGAAGTGTGGGAAGGATAAAATAATAGGCGCACCTGCGTTTTAAGGAAAACAGAAATGAATATGAATAATGTGGTTCTGAAAAGGCTACGATAAGTATAAAGTTTCTGACCACAAACCTGGTTCCTAAGGAGGAAAAGTCTTCACATAAGTAAACTTGGGTTGGAGGGGGCAGGCTAAAATTCCATTCTACACCTCCTCATGCAGGGTTTATACTCCATTTTCTGACATTTCGATATTTTTTCCACAATATGTACTGAAGTCCCAGCTAAATTATTCTTTAACAAACATTCAACCTATAAAAGTAAATGCTTTATACACATTATTTTAATTAATGTTCCCAGCAGCCCTATGAAGTTAGAAATATTCATTTTGCATTTGAGGACAGTGTGGTTCAGAGAAGAGACAAAATTTAGCCAGGGACATCCAGCTATCAGGTGACAGAGGTAGAATTCTAATTGAATCATGGATGCTTTATTTTAGCTCAAAGCACTTCAAACCCCGTTTCAACTACAATTCTCTACCAGTAAATGACTTTTTTTTTGCTTGCTTTTCTGTTTTTACTTTATCTAAGATAGGCTTTGTTCTCCAGCATATGTTGGTGCAGAATGTTTTAAGATTGTGCTTGGTTCTGACATCTGCCCAGCCTCAGACCAGATCAAGGTCTGCCCACATGAAGACTCTGATTGTGGTTTTTTTGTTTGTTTGTTTGTTGTTGTGTGTGTGTGTGTGTGTGTGTGTGTGTGTGTGTGTGTGTTGCCTTTCCTATTCATTTTAAAAAAGAAGTAGGGAAACAATTATTAAAGAAAACCTATTCTAGATTTTCCTATTGAGGAGGAGAGAGGGACCCTATAATTACTTCTAGTAAATATATTTTTGAAGAAATTAGCTTATTGGCTAGTAATTTCATTCTGTTTACACATCCACCAGTCCCACAGCTCAACATACACATCACCTGTCACACACACACAAGGGTTTTGCTCTTTACTACTGGTTTCACAAAGCCATCATTTCCTTCTTTGTGGCCTACAGTCACCTTTAAACTATATTTTTAAAACTCTATTGAGGGTTTACTAAGGGCCAGACATCCCCTTTGATATGAATGAGAAAACTGGTGTCTTGAACCCTGCTCAACCAACTGGGCCAATGTGCCAGAAAGCAGGATAGGATGCAAACCCACATCTCCCTGACTCCAGAACACTCACTCATCCCACCATCCAAATTGTTCCTCCAGGATTCAAAACAGTTGAGGGCAATCCTGGAGAGGTAACATTCCGTCCACATTTGCTAATTAATACGCAAGAGGCAAGAGGGAAAAAATTGACTGTTGCAAAGTAGAATATTCCCGTTTATTCAGCTATCAACTTCCTGAGGTAGCAGAATATTAACAAAACAAAAATACATCCACACTTATGCCTGGAGCCAGAGGCACATGGGCTGAGTGGACGGGGCACTATTCAGCCAGTGAGACAGTAGGACAGGTCAGAGCAGAAACTCGTTCCCATTCATCTTTAGTCTTATCTCCAGATGAGGGGAGCCGTGATCCCTGGCACTGTGCTCCCCGAACACGCAGGCATCACCTTCTCGAGGATCACCAGCAGCTCATGTTAAAATACAGATCCTGGGGCCCTGGACAGATATGTTCAATGGTTCTCCAGATAACCCTGGTGCAAGGCCAGGGTTGGGAGGCGCTGCCCCCTCAGACAAGGATAGGGAGGATACTGCTGACCTCAGGCTTATCCCAAAAGGAGATTTTCAAACTAACTGGACAGGAGGACAAAAGTTAGCATGTTGCTTTATCCAGGAGAAAAGGACAACTTTATTCCGGAGAAAGGGGTTACCACATTTCTCAAGAGAAACTGTAAAGAGGAACTGTGGCCTAAGAAGAATCACAGTCTGAATATCAGACCCTCGTTCCAACAAGGACTGGCTGGGAGACAGGATTTGATAAAAATCAAGTTCCCTCTCTGATCCCTGGTTTCCACAGTTATAAAAAGAGGCCATTGGCTCTCTCTCTAGCAGAGGTATTGTAACTAATTATGCAGCATATGATTATTAAAGGTAGTCCTCAAGATGAAGACAATTACTGTGTCCGTTGCACCACTGATAATTCTGCCTCGTTCATGGAAAGGAGCGGAGTAGCTCAGACACTGAGGAAAACGGAGAAATTTGCTTTGAAGTCGTTGAGACTCTACCAACATCGGAACTTTCTCATTCCTGAGCTCTCCACTCCCTCCTTTGGCACTGTTTTGAATGTGATATCAGGTCATGCTTCTCATGTATTAACTACATGTAAGTACATAAAGTACGTAAAGCAGTGACTGGGACTAGTCAGTGCTAGTGACTGGACCTAGTCCAGTGGTCGGCAAACTGCGGCTCGAGAGCCACATGCGGCTCTTTGGCCCCTTGAGTGTGGCTCTTCCACAAAATACCACGTGCGGGCGCGCATGTACAGTTCGATTGAAACTTCGTGGCCCATGCGCAGAAGTCAATATTTTGTGGAAGAGCCACATTCAAAGGGGCCAAAGAGCCGCATGTGGCTCGCGAGCCGCAGTTTGCCGACCACTGGCCTAGTCAGTGCTAGTAGACATGAGCTATTATTAAGACTTCTAAACTGCTGCCAGTAAAAACCATTGCAGGAAAGCCAATCATTTTATCTTTTTTCCATTCTATAGCCAGGCTATGAAACGCTGTTCTCGCCAGGTCAGAATCGTCCTTACTGTGGGGCTGACAACGCTCTTGGTGGAAGAACACCAATCCTCCATCCCAGACACTCAGAATCATGTCATCTCTTACCGTTCTTGCAGATGCTGACATTCAGAACTCCCGAGCCCAGGCAGTTTCCTGCGGGTATACAGAAGCCGGCATTGTCGGAGGTGTTGGCTAATGCTTCGTAAGGCACCGTAAACCGAAAGGCAGGCAGTCCCTGTACACTCTTATAGTCACTGAAAGTTATATGCACTGACCTGGTAGGGAGGAAGAACAAAAAGTCAGTGTGGGCTGCAGTCAGCACAATCTGGCCCGAATCAATACTTTAGCGACAGTTCTCAGGGACAACACGGCTAAGGCTTAGAGGGCAAGCGAAAGGGGAAGATGCAAAACGAAGCTGGGAAGGAGCTCTACCCACTCCACGTGTAATAAAGGAGGAGATGAACTGTAGAGAACGATGTTTAAGAGGTAGCAACTGTGGGAATATCCAAACAAGGCCATGAAAAAAAAAATCTGTGGTAGAAAATGAAGAAGATGACATTTAGGCGCTGGCCGGTGTGGCTCAGTTGGTTGAGTGTCATCCCGTGCACAGAAAGGTTGCTGGTTCAATTCCCAGTGAAGGCACATGCCTGGGTTGAGGGTTCAATCTCCAGTCAGGGTGTATGTGGGAAACAAGTGATGGATGTTTCTCTCTCATATCGATGTTTCTCTTTCTCTCTCCCCCTCTCCTTTCCCCTCTCTCTCAAATTAATAAAAACATTTTTTTAGAGATGACATTTAGAATGGAAATGAGTGGTCTAGACCAGCAGGGACACAGGCCAGTGTGGGGGAAGCAGAAGCAAAGAACAGGAAGCAAAGCCAAAGCGTGGCCTGGACAAGTGCCCCATGAGACAGATACCTGACTAGAATACATGCTTTTATATGCATTTCACCCAAATGAAAATAGTTTCACATTTTGCCCATCATCGATTTCAATGGAGGTCAACACATTTCTGCCTTCAGTTGTGAATGGAGTTTCAGTGGTCCCCTGAAATACTAACCACCCTCATGCTTGCATAGCACCTGAGTACAGGTATAACCCCGAATTTCAGAAGTTGGCTTTATGCAACTTTACTTCTACCAAAGTCCTACATTAGTACTTGCTTTTGCTAACCAAAAGAAATCTGAAGAGAATTTTTGCTTTTATGGGAAAAGGTGAAAAGTGGAAATAGCATTTGTTTTGCCTGGCCAGCGTGACTCAGCAGTTGAATGTCAACCCATGAGCCAGTCAGGGCACATGCCGCACCACCCCCCCCTCCCGCATCCCCTATCCCCCGCCCCACCTTGTGGCTCCCCCAGTAGGGGGCGTGGAGGAGGCAGCTGATCAATGATTCTCTCTCTCATCATTGATGTTTCTATCTCTCTCTCCCTCTCCCTTCCTCTCTGACATCAATAAAAATATATTTTTTTAAAAAGAAAATTGGATTTGTCTTGCAACAAGGCATTCATTATAGAGGCAGCAAGTACTGGAAGCAATGAGAGTGACCCCACCAAGCTCCAGCATCTCAGCACCCAGCCCCACATCTCAGCACCCAGCCCCATAGCTCTGAACTGCATCTATGAGCACCTGTGTGTGCATCTGTTAGCAAGATGTGTCCTAAGGTATCAGAAAAGACTAAGAGAGCTCATAAAGGTGTTATGCTTAGTATAAAACTGGACGTAATTAAGCATATTGGGTATTTATTGGTGGCTTATGTTTTGTCTTGGAATGCTCAAAATATTTTCCATACAAATTAATGATAAGTGCTTTGCTTTATGACAAATCAGCTTACAAAAGGTTTCATAGGAATACTCTACTGTTGACAGTGGGGAAACCTGTAACAGACAAAGCACTTTGTCTTAATCTATCCTTTAGGCCTTCATTTGAGAGGAAGTGCTCTCTGGGCCTCACTTTTTCATCTTTGAACCAGAGATGAGATACACCTCTGGCAGGGCTGTGAATAACATGGAAATTGCCTTCCACTCACATCCCCCCCCCCAATAGTATTTTTAAAAATGAAATATTTTAGGCAAACAGAATAGAGAAAATGCTATAATAAATACTTTTTATAACAAATATTACTCAGATAAATAAAAAATATATTATGGGTACAACTGCAGCTCTCTGTATAACACTCCTGATTCGAGTCCTTCTCTGTGTCCCCAGAAGAAACCACTATCCTGAATCTAGGGTTTACTCTTCCCATGAGATTTTTATGCTTTTCCATACGGACATATTCATAAACAGTATGTGGCACTGTTGGCTGTTTTAAAGTATTATATACAGAATGCCATGTTCTCTTTCTGTAATTTGCTTCTTCATTCAACATTATATTTTTAAGATTTTTTACATTAATGTAGATAGCTCTGATTTGTATATGTTAAATCCTATATGGTATCCCATCATACCATATAGCATTTAAAATATAGAATTTATTTATATTTTCACTTTTATAAGCACTTAGATTGCTTCAATTTTCACCACTACAATGTTGCAATGAATTTTCTGTCTATGTCTCTTTGTGTGTGTGTGTGTGTGTGTGTATTCAAGCTGGGGAATCTATGTAGGACAGAAGTGCAGAATTAGGGACTTAACATGTCTTTGGCTTTACTAAACACTGCCAAATGGTTCTTCAAAGTGGTTTTCCCGGATAAGAATGTGTTTCCTCTGTGCCAAATCTTTTTAAAAGAAGCCTCCTACTGCCCTTCTAGGTTCCCTTGTTTCATTCATTGCACACGAATGCGTTTTCAATTCCTTTGGTGCTTCCACAAATATTTATTAAATGGAGCAGCCAGCTGGAAAGGGTCTAAACCAGTGATTTTTCAACCGGTGTGCTCAAAGAATTTATAAAACATGTAATACCTGACTATTTAGTCAGGGGCACTGACCTCTTTTCCCTTAGATTGTCAAATAAAAAAAATGACAACATCCAACACCACAGTAGCCGTCTGGTTTGAAAGAATCAAAATTATACCTTTTTTTTTTTTTTTTGGTCAGATGGGCAAAAAAATATATTTTGTGTGTGTCATAGAATTTTAGTCATTAGTTTATGTGTGTCATGAGATGAAAAGGGTTGGAAAACTGCTGGTCTAAACCATGGCACAGATAGCGGGGTGGAGAGGTGAGGATGAATGCAAGAGCTATTTCTGAGGAGGAACAGATAGCATTTGGTGACCGACTACATGCAAGAGAGGAGGGATATTTACAGGCCCCCAGGGCCTCTGGCAGGGCTGACTGGGTAGGTGGTGCAACTCTGTGAGCGATGAAACACTCAAAGAACAGCAATCCTTGAGAATATTGAATCAACCGTGTCAAACGTGACCAGGTCATTTGCTTTAGAGGAGTTTCATAAAAAGCCTTGAAAGAGTGAGTGGGGGAGGAACTGGAGGCTGCAGTTCAAGGGTGATGGGTGGGAAAGGCACAGTGGGAGATGGGGATCAGGGTGTGGAGCAGGGTGCCCCTCTTCCCACAAAGACATAATCGTGTTCATTTGTAGAGAAGGAGCTGGCGGTAGAGAGGGAGAGATTACAGGGCGAGTGAGAATAGATATGATCAATGGCAAGGTTATAGCTAAGCAAATACCTAGAAACTCTAAATTATGGGGAACCAATACAATTTATTTATCTTTTATGTAGAGATTATCTGTTGACTGGAAAAAGATCAGGTCAAATTTCATGTTTGAATATCATATTAACTAATAGCTAACGCTTAATTTTATTTACTGGGTGACAACCCCTGGGCTGGGCTAAGTATTTTACTAACAGTAATTCATTTGTCCTTATAACAACTCTCAAGGTAGGCAACTATTTGTAGCCTCATTTACAAATGAGGAAAGTGAGGCAGAGTCATTCAGTAACTTTCCCAAGGCCACACAGCTGTAAGTGGTAGAGCTGGTATTTGAACCAATGCAGTCAGGCTCTGAGGCCCATGCTGCAAAACACCACTCTGCACTGTCTCTCAATATGCCATCATCATTTATCAGGGATTAAACATGAATATCCATGCCTCATAAGTATAGCTACATAGATTCCTCACACTTTTGGTGGTCTTGCAGTCAAAGGCATTTTTAAAGTTCTTACCTGCAAAAATCAGATGGAAAGACATAAAGGATTTCGTCTTTCGTTATTAGTGGGTGAAAAGTATCACCGTCTGTTCCATTAATCATATTGCATTTGTCTGTTGTCCACCAGCCAAGTGACCTGTAATTAATAAGCACAAGAAAGAGACAAGAGGATCAAATTTGATTTTAGTGGGGTTTTTTTTTTTCTTCAAATGATCAGGACTTCTTGAGACTCAACTAGGAGGAGCAGGCTATCCACAGAATCTCATTCACATGTGACACAGGGCGAGATTGGTTAGGGACTGAATCAAGATGGGAAAATAGGCTCCCGACCCTCAGGTCAATTTTGATAGAGGCCAACGCCAAAAATCCCTCTTTCTTTCCTGAAAAAGGGTATTCTACATGGAAGTTTAGAAATTGCCATTTACTTAAAACAATGATCTAATTTAGCATTATTAATAGCCTGACAGACAAGCTCTGGACAGATATGTTCATCTCTTAATAGTCATGACAGAGCATTAACTCTGTCTCCCCTCGGAACAGGTCTCCGTCCCAAATTAATGGGGAGATTCTCTTGGGTGTCAAGAGATAATTAGTTAATTGGAAGATAGTTCTAAGGAATTTATACAAATACTAGTGGCCCGGTGCACAGATTCGTGCACATTGAAAGGAAATTAATTAGAAGAAAGATTCATGCGGTAGTTACATTACTGCAAAAAATTACATGTCAAAATAGTATATATAATATAGTATTATAAAATTAAAACACACGTGTGATTGGTGCCAGCAAAAGCTTTATATGTATCGCGCATGCGCAAGTCAACATTTATTTTTAAATTGCCAGTGTGCGTCATATGTACCAGCTGGCCAGTCGGTCAGTCAGTTGATGCACGGATGTATGTATGGTCAGTCACTTAGCCTTTTATATATATATAGATAAGCTCAGAAAAGTTAAAAATGAGAGGATTAAGATAGAGAGAATAGATGGAGAAGCTCCAATAAATGTTTAATTTATTTTTTCTTTTGCGGGAGGGAGAAAATAGAGCAAATTACAGAGAAGCAGTAAGTGAAGAGATAATTTCTGAAAGTTTTTCAAAATTTAAGAAAGATATGAAGCCTTGGATTGAAAGTATGTCCCAAGGGCCAAACAGGATGAATACAAATAAATTTAAATCTGGATATGTTGTAGTAAAAGTGCAAAAGACCAAGGAAAGAGACATCAAAAGTCAATGGAGTAATATCTTCATAATTTTGAACTGTGGACCTAGAATTCTATACCTAACTTAAAACTGAGAGTGAAATTTAGACATTTTAAAATATGTGAAGTCTAAGAAAGTTTACCACCCACAGATCCTTTCTTAAAGAACTACTCATGCAGGGTTTCTCAACCTATTAACCCTATTGATGTTTTGAGCCTGTACATTGTAGGATGTTTAGCAACAGCCTAGGTTTCTACCAGTAGATTCCAGTAGCACCTCCCAGTTGTGACAATCAAACATGTGTCCAGACATGACCAAATGTCCCCGGAGGGGGCAAAACTGCCTCTGGTTGGGCACCACTGTATGAATGGATACTCTTCAGCAAGAAAACTAAACCCAGAGGAATATTTGACAAAGAAAAAGTGAGGCAAGCCGAAACCGGTTTGGCTCAGTGGATAGAGCATCGGCCTGCGGACTGAAAGGTCCCAGGTTTGATTCCGGTCAAGGGCATGTACCTGGGTTGTGGGCACATCCCCAGAAGGAGATGTGCAGGAGACAGCTGATTGATGTTTCTCTCTCATCGATGTTTCTGGCTCTCTCTCTCCCTTCCTCTCTGTAAAAAATCAATAAAATATATATTTTTTTAAAAGTGAGACAAATAAAAGATGTTGGCAATTAATTATGTATTTACCATAAAAAATGAACTTTTTAATTATATTTGCTTCCTTAAGAAGGTAAAATAAGTCATAGACAAGAATAATAAAGTGTGTGTGTGTGTGTGTGTGTGTGTGTGTTTAAGAAATGAGTAAAGTTATTGTCCTATTTGGAAGGAGAAAAAAGACAATACATAGCTTTAGATTTTGTTAGAAAAATATTGTTATCTGAATCATAAAAATCTAAGGATAGGATAGTCATAAACAAGAAAAAATAAGTCCAAATATACTAAATAAGATAGCATTATACCATATATGTATCCGTAATTATAACACACATATAAAAGGATTAAACTATTTTATTAAAAGAATGAAAAAATACAGAATGGGTTTAAAACAAAAACCAGCTACATCCTGTTTACTAGTAAATTTCCCTTCCAGCCCAGTTCCCCTTGGTAAGTCACTGTTGCCAGTTTCTTATATATTCTTTCAGGGGTCTTGTATATTTGTGTGTGTGTGCGCGCGCGTATGCTTACAAATATGTTTATGTACGTGATGTTTTAAATTTAAATTAACTGTTTATTTAAAAACAGTCTGATATTTACAGAAAAGTTATGAAGATACTACCGAGAGTTTTCCTGTATTCCACACCAGTTTTTTTGCCTGTATTTCTGGGAAGCTTAGAAATAAATTTAAAGTTCAAGAACAGAAACCCTCTTACCTCAGTCCCTGAAGAATTGCCTTGTTTTCTTTCAAAGGTTTCTAATTTCTCTAACTTTAAACAATTATCTTGTTTTATAGGTAGCTTTAGCTCCTTTTTGGAAGTAATTTATGTTATAAATATTAAAACAAACATATTTTTGAAATACTATCATCCTGAACTCAAATGTATTTCATCTTTAAAAAAAATAACACAGCCCTGGTCGGATGGCTCAGCTGGTTGGAGCATCGTCCCGTATACCAAAAGGTGGTGGGTTTGATTCCTGGTCAGGGCACATACCTAGGTTGTGGATTCCCTCCCCATTCAGGGCGGGTACAGGAGGCAACCTATTGATGTGTTTCTCTCCCATAGATATCCTCTCTCTCTCTCTCTCTCTCTCTCTCTCTCTCTCTCTCTCTCCCTCCCCCCCCTCTTCCCTCCCCCTCCCTTCCTCCCCATTCCTCTTTCTCTAAAACCAATAAATATATCCTCAGGTGAGGATTTTAAAAATTAATAAAAATTTAAAAAATAACAGAAACAATCCACAATCATTAAATTAAATTAAAAAGAGAATGTCTTCCATTCCCCACAAAACAAGCAGTGGTTTGAAAAGTATCGGTGCTGCAGCTGCACATGACTCCCAAGTGGGAGAGTGATTTTCAACCATCAACATTCAATTTGTCAAGTGCATTATCCCAATCTTGATTTTTAAAATAATAATTGTAAGTATATTTTACATACTTATAGGTTTTTCATCCCCAAAATGACAGTGTTAAAATATTTTTTTGAAATAATATGGAAGTGGACATTCAGTTTAAATAAAAATTGAAAAATAATTACGCTGATGAATCATTAGACTTACGTTTTTCCATTCCATTCCACAATCTTTGAAAAGTTAAGGTAATTGTCTTCTCCAGTTAGAAAAACATAGTCTCCATCATTAGTCCCATTTTTCTGAAAATAAGTGAATATGATCATTTAAAGTAACGTGATGGTTAACTTTGTGTCAACTTGGATGGGCTATGGTGCCCAGCTGTTTGGTTAAACACTAGTCTAGATGAAGGATTACAGGTTCAATTCCCCGTCAAGGGCATGTACCTAGGTTGCAGGTTTGATCCCTGGCCCCAGTCTGGGCAAGTGAGGGAGGCAACCAATCGATGTGTCTCTCTCACATAGATGTTTTTTTCTCTCTCTCCTCCTCTTCTTCCTTCCACTCTCTCTAAAAATCAGTGGGAAAATATCCTTGGGTGAGGATTAATAAATCTCTCTAAATATAGATATAGATCTCTTTCTCTGGAGATCCCTGACTGATACAGTAACTAACAAATTTAATCTTCATGAAACTGCCCTAGTTGAGCCCAATTGCTACATGAGACTGAACCAGAACTAGAGAATAGAGTGAGGAACTACCGAACACAGAATTACTATACGACCCCCCAAATCCCACTCCTGTGTATATACCCAAGGTACATATTCAATGTTCATAAAAAACTTGTATACAAATGTTCATAGCAGCATAATTCACAATAGCCAAAAGGTAAAAATAACCCAAATATCCATTAACTGCTGAATGGATAAACAAAGTGTGGTATATCCATACAATAGAATATTACTTGGCCATAAAAAGGAATGAAGTGCTGATACATGTTACAACATGGATGGACCTTGTAAACTTTATCTACACTAATAAAAGACAAACATGCAAATTGACCATACCTTTGCTACGCCTTAAGCCAAGCCTACCAGCCAATCAGAGCGACTATATGCAAATTAAACCAACCAAGATGGCGATCAGCAGCCACGGAGCTGGAGCGAGCAGGAGGCTTGGTTGCCCAGTGATGGAGGAAGCCAAGCTTCCCGCCTGCCGCAGCTGGCTCTAAGCTCCATTCAATGCAACAAAGTTTCAATTATAGAAGATAAATAAACACCAGATACCTGCTTTCAGCCTGCCATGGCCACGGAGCTGGAGCAAGCAGGAAGCTTGGGTTGCCCCTGGCGATGGAGGAAGCCCGCCCTGGCTGGCTCTGAGCTCCACTCAAGGTTACAAAGTTTCAATTATAGAAGGTAAATAAATCCCAGAATAAAAAAAAAAAAAAGGAGAGGCTGGGAGCTTCCTTCGCCGGGGGGCTTGGCCAGCCTGAAAAAGGCCCTCAGCCCCTCACCCAGGCTGGCCAGGTACCCCAGTGGGGACCCCCCACCCTAAAGGGGGTGTGACCAGCCTGCAAACAGCCATCAGCCCCTCACTCAGGCTGGCCAGGCACCCCAGTGGGGATCCCCACCCTAAAGGGGGTGTGACCAGCCTGCAAACAGCCATCAGCCCCTCACCCAGGCTGGCCAAACGTCCATGGGGTGAGGGTCCCCACTGGTTGGGACTTGACCAGCCTGCAAACAGTCATCAGCCCCTCACCCAGGCTGGCCAGGCACCCAAGCGGGACCCCCACCCTGATCCAGGACACCCTTCAAGGCAAACCAGCCGGCCCCCACCCGTGCACCAGGCCTCTATTCTATACAGTAAAAGGGGAATATGCAAACTGACCCTAACAGCAGAAACACTGGGAATGACTGGTCACTATGACACACACTGACCAGCAGGGGGCAGACGCTCAATGCAGGAGCTGCCCCCTGGTGGTCAGTGCGCTCCCACATGGGGGAGCTCTGCTCAGCCACAAGCCAGGCTGATGGCTGCCAGTACAGCGGTGGTGGTGGGAGCCTCTACTGCCTCCTCAGCAGCGCTAAGGATGTCCGACTGCAGCTTAGGTCTGCTCCCTGCTGGTAAGTAGACATCCCCCAAGGGCTGCCGGGCTGCCAGAGGGATGTCTGACTGCCAGCTTGGGCCCGATCACCCAGGGAGCGGGTCTAAGCCAGCAGTGACATCTTCTGAGGT